CTGAGTTTCTACTTTGTCGGGCGGTGTTACACGGGGCAATTTTTGCTCTTTAATTCTTCCGACATTTTTTATCATATATATTTTTCATTTTTGTAAAGAAAATGTCGACAGAGTGAGAATGCGGACTTTGCTCACATTTGTATGTGGCTATATTTTTTAAATAATATGGCTCTGTAACAGAAATTGCATTGCTGGTTCCAGCAAAAATTGCCTGGTGTAACATGGCCTTAAACAACTTTTGTAAAAAATGAAATAATCTAAAAACACTATGGTTAAAATTTGTCTGGTTAACCTAGAAATACTGTAACCCTGGGTTAACGTTAAATTCCTGGTTATTTTAACCGTTTTTCCTACAATACTGGAATAATTTTGAAACAAATGATAGCGATATTACATTTATTAAACGACGTTTCGATGCTACAGCGTGCATCATTTTCAAGTTATAGTATTACATATATTGCGTTGATTTAAATTAAACCGTTCGTATCACGTTAGCAAATTATTGCGTAAGCATGCAAAATTTCATTTTTGTCCGCCTGAATGCTCGCGGACACGCCATGAAAGTAGAACTAATTTTTCACATGATAAAATCACGCGTGCGGGGCGACTGCGGTGGGAAATGGCCTTTAAGCGTCTGTGTGTAACCTGTCTGTGTGTGTAACCTGTCTCTGTGTGTGCTTTGTCTGTGAGCGTGCGTATATGCATACTATGTGTATATAAGTATATAACTGTACATATAATCATATAATTGGACGCCGGAAGGTGCCTTGCATGGGAACTTTTCAAAGAGTCCCGTTCGTACCTTGCCTTTTTGGATCTAGCTTTCAAATGTGTTATATATATATATATATATATATATATATATATATATATATATATATATATATATATATATATATATATATATATATATATATATATATATAGCTATCAAACAGAAATAACTTGCATTAATTAGAGATAGGACTAACTTAGATTTTGATATATTACAGTTGTATTTTACTTAAAATTTCACGGAGAAATTAATGTTCAAAATCGGGAGCATATTTTGGGATGTGTCTAAAATTAGCGAAAATCGGCATATCAAATATTAACTCCAGCGTTTGTTTGCTTAATGAGATATCAGGCTAACTTGTATTTCAACGAATTGTCGTTAGGGTTT